ACGACTCCAACTGTTATTATTCACCTGAGTACACAACACCAACACAGAAAAATTCATATTACTAGAACACATTGGTATTGAAGGAACGAGATACTGTTCCGAAATATCACTTACTCGAACCGTCCTGACCGCGTAGCTCAGTTGGAAGAGCATTGGGCTAGTATTCCAAAGGTCGCAGGTTCGAATCCCACCGTGGCCGGGCATATTTTGCAAGCTCGCCCGGTGTGGATATGCACTCAGAGTAACATCGCAAACATATAACTTACTTTGTCCGCCAGTAATTGTCCCGAAATAGCCCATGCTTTTACAGCGTTTAACATTCTCGGCTCGTTCCAGTCTCTATGTCTTTATATCGAAATTTTGGCTTCGGTGCTTCGGTATAAATTTTCTACCCCCCAAAAAGCGAGAAAAATTATCTAACAGATTCTCACAAAGCAATATTACTCTTAAACTATAAATCAACAAGTATAAATCATAAAGCCAGTTTTCCGCTTCAACCGTATCGTAACGTACCGTGGCATTTTTCTTTTGTGTCGAAGTCATTAGTTCCACTCTAGTGCTCAGGAAACAAGTTATTAGTTCCTCTTTAGTGCTCAAGAAACAAAGAAATACGACACGCTTCGGCACGATACGATTGAAGTGGAAAACAGGTAGAAAACTGGCTTAAAGCTCGTTTCCCACTTCGTCCGTATCGTCACTGAATAGAAAATAAACGAGAAGGTCCACTTAGCCAAAATTATGTCCGAGATTTTTCATCCGGTCCAAATAATGGGTCATCGCAACAGGAAGACACAACTTAAAAAACAAAAGCGTAAAATATTTACACAATAATTGCAGAATATGCAGCGTACACTTTGAGCATGTTTTGTGAATTTCAGGAAAAACCGTTGATTTGAGGAATTGACGCCAAATCACAGAATAGAAAATAGACCAGAAGCCTCACTTAGCCAAAATTATGTCCGAGATTTTTCATGCTCAGGCGCGAGCCAGCAAGCGTAATCACGACGCCATCAAACGCGAGCAACGCCATCAATTGCCATCAATAGGTAATAAGGATTGCTGTTTTAACCGTTTTTAAATGCCACGGGTCCAAATAATGGGTCATCGCAACAGGAAGACACGACGTAAAAAACAAAAGCGCAAAATATTTGCACAATATTTCAAGAAAAACCGTTGATTTGAGGAATTGACGCCAGATTGACGCTGACGAACGCTGACGTGATGTTCGCAGCAAGTGTCACACACGTCATCTAGCGTGCGAAATTCGTGATCCGCAAGTCGAAAATCGCGGACACGAAAATGTTAGGGAAAGGTGTACAGTGAGGCTTCTGGTCTATTTTCTATTCTGTGGCCAAATTGACGCTGACGAACCCTGACGTGATGTTCGCAGCAGTGTCACACACGTCATCTAGCGTGCGCAATTCGTGATCCGCAAGACGAAAATCGCGGACACGAAAATGTTAGGGAAAGGTGTACAGTGAGACTTCTGGTATATTTTCTATTCTGTGGTATCGTACCATAACGTACCGGTGAGCATGCGTAGCTTGAAGATGGGTTTTCAAATTTACGTACTTCCGGTTGATTCGCGTATCAAAATAAAAAGTTCGTTGCAAGTCAACTTTTTAGCGTACTACGGAAGTATTAAATCAACTTTCACTAAATTTTGAAATTTAAAATTTTGTTTTGATACGTGTCGGTACGTTACCCTTGAAGTGGAAAACAGCCTTTAGGTTTTTAACGTAGAATATTCCGTATGTAAATGACCAAATTTGCATTTGAAAAGCTTAATTAAATTTACATACCTTGCCATGCCATGCTCACTAGACGACGCCATCTTCCATGTAAAAATACAAGCTAATCACCTCACGAGAAATCCACGCAATCAAATGTTGGAACAATGCTGGCTTCCGATTGGACAACCGATGTTCCAAAATTGGCAATCCAACATTCGTAACAAGTTTTGTTTATTCTTTATTTTGTTTTGTTTATTCTTGGGCGGGTTGGCCACTTTTCTGGCAGCTAACCACGTTTCTTTATTTATAAATTGTTTTCCTTCGACAGAAGGACAAAACGTAGCCGGCTGTGGCCAAAGTCCTTTGTTTTCTTTTGTTTTGATAATATTGGGTGCTTTTGGGCACCTCAATATTTGTGGGACTGTTGTATAGTGGTGTCGACGTCCCTGGTTAAGTGGATAACTGAATGGGTGGTGGTAGTTGGGGGAGTGGTTGGCCTGCGAGAATTGGGAATGTATGTGGTGGTGGTGGTGTTGTAATAGCTTTCGGAAGGAGAGGTCTTGCTGGTGGGAGTGGTGTTGATCCTGTTTTCGGTGGTGATAGAGGAACTTTTCGGGTGAGTATTCTTTTCTCCAGGTTCTTCTGGCGATCATTCCACCTAGATTGTTAAGATAGATAGTAGAATTTAAGGTATTGTTTAAAGTGTTTTTGTGTTTGTTTGCTGGATATTTAGTGCGATATTGCCTATTAAACTACCATGTAATATTAAGATAAGATCATAAACGCTTTAATAAAGTTGTTTGATTAAGCTCATACAACTGAAGGTTTGTGTTTTCCATGATTCTATCATTTAGGGTGACCAATTCCCGGATGTGGTGGTATGCCCCAAGGATTAAACGCCACCTGGAGATGGTCTTGCCATCCTTCTTCTGCGGGCTGTGGAAGACATTTTCCAACTTCTTACATAAGCATTCAAAAATAGGGCTGGCATCAACAGCTGTCGCAGGGCCAGAGTCCCCACCAACCATGGCTCTAAAGAGAATTACAATAATATCAGTTGCAGCTGCTAAACAGGTGAGATGACTACTTGGTCTATTGTCTTGTAACACAGACCATGTTTTATCTTCTTAAACTGACAATCCCAGGTGTAACTGTTTGCGTTTTTGACTGAGACTTCTTGTGCATGAACCGCCCCTGTTTGGGCACAGTCTTGTTTGTATCTGGGGGGATAATCCACCTTTGCCAATCTTGTTTTTTTTCTGGCAATTCATTCAATAAGCCAATGCTATTCTCTTCCACTTGTGTAGTCAGCACTGACACATTTCTCAGCTCAAACAATGCTGTGGCCAGGCTTGTTATTGAGTGCCGTCCTATTATGCCAGACGGGCCAATGGTTTCCTGCATGCCAGTTTTGAAAACATGGACAATTGGACATATTCGTACAAAAATAGTAAAATACACAACACAGAATACTGTTTCTTGCTGCAACACTGACCGATGAGGCAGGCAAGTTTTGCTTATTCTTTATTTTGTTTATTCTTGGGCGGGTTGGCCACTTTTCTGTCAGCCAACCACGCATCTTTATTTACATATTGCTTTCCTTCGACAGAAGGACAAAACGTGTCTACACCATTTTGGCCTATATGCCGACTGTGGCCAAAATCTTTTGTTTTGGGCAGTTTGCAGTGGCCACACGTATTGAAAGTTTTTTTTCTTTCGCAACGGTTCTTGTTTGGTTGTGTCTCGTGTTCTCGTTTTCGTTTGTTTTGGTAGTACTGTGTGCTTTTGGGAACCTCAATATTGGTGGGACTATTGTATAATGGTGTTGATGTCTCTGGTTGAGAGCATAACTGGATAGGTCGTGGCAGTTGGGGGAGTGGTTGCACTGTGGGAATTGGGAATGTATGTGGGGGTGGTGGTGTTGGAATAGGCTTCGGAAGGAGAGGTCTTGCTGGTCGGAGTGGTTTTAATGCTGTATTTGGTGGTGATGGAGGAATTGCTTGAGTAAGAATTCGTTTCTCCAGGTTCTTCTGTGTGTGTGTGTGTGTGTGTTGTCTGTCTGTCTGTCTGTCTGTCTGTCTGTCTGTCTGTCTGTCTGTCTGTCTGTCTGTCTGTCTGTCTGCAAAAGATAATGTAGGGAATTACAGACCAATTTCAGTTTTAAGTGCAATTTCTAAGGTTTTCGAGCGTATTGTTTTTGATCAGCTTTACACCTATTTCAATGAAAACAATCTGTTACACAAGAATCAATCAGGCTTTAGGAAGTGCCACTCTACTATGACTGCTCTAATAGATGCCACTATTGAATGGCTTAGAAACATGGACCAGGGAAAGCTTAATGCGGTTGTTTATATTGATCTAGCGAAGGCATTTGATACAATAAGTCACGAGATATTACTTGAGAAACTCCACATTTACGGGGTTGATGCAAATAGTTTATCCTGGTTTCAATCCTATTTACAAGATCGCAAACAAAAATGTTATGTGAATGACGTTCTATCTGGCGAACGTACCATTAATTGTGGTGTGCCTCAGGGGTCAATTCTTGGACCGTTATTGTTTCTCATATATATAAACGATCTTCCTCAGTGTTTAAAACATTCTACAGCTCGAATGTACGCTGACGATACAAACATAACAACGACAGGAACATCTATTCGAGAAATAGTAACACATGCTAATGATGACTTAAATAATATAAGTGACTGGCTGAAAGCAAACAAACTCAGCCTTAACGTGACCAAAACTGAGTACATGTTCATCGGTTCAGATCAAAATCTCGACAAGTTAAGGGATGTGCCACTACTATTTCTTGAAAACAAAGCTATAAAAAGGGTCAAAGCAGCCACGTCATTAGGGTACATATTGATGAAAGACTAACATGGCATGAACACGTGGAATTTCAGGTTAACGGCGGAAAAAGGAGTTTGTCCCATTATCGACATTGTTAACAACCTATAACTCATTAATACAACCATTATTTGATTATTGCGATGTTGTTTGGGACAGCCTTCTTGCTGCTGGTGCTGGCATTCTGCAAAAGTTACAAATCGTGGCGCTAGAGTTATTATTCACCAAGGTTATGATATCAGATCCAATGAAATAAGGAAAACATTGAACTGGAAAACTCTTGCTGAAATGCGAGACATACACAAATTAACTATGATGTATAAGATATTAAATAATTTGGCGCCAAATTATTTGAGGGACCATTTTGAATGGTCCCTCATCTGCCATAGATTTTTATTGATTAAGAAATAGAAAACTATACCTTGTACTACAAAAGCCTCAAACTGAATATTTAAAGAAATGCTTTGCATTTTCTGGAATAAAAAAATGTGGAATAATTTACCTAAAGGTATAAAATGCAGCAACAGCTTGAGCCAGTTTAAAAAGGAGCAATATATAATCACATCATCAGCTTCTATCTAGAATTGTATATATATTCGACTTTCTTGTAAAGCAGTGCTATGCACTGAAAAAATTCCGAATTCAAATAAATCTGTCTGTCTGTCTGTCTGTCTGTCTGTCTGTCTGTCTGTCTGTCTGTCTGTCTGCATGCCTGCCTCTCTGTCTGTCTGTCTGTCTGTCTGTCTGTCTGTCTGTCTGTCTGTCTGTCTGTCTGTCTGTCTGTCTGTCTGTCTGTCTGTCTGTCTGTCTGTCTGTTTTTATCGACATAATATCAGTTGCAGTTGCTAAACAGGTGAGATGACTACTTGGTCTATTGTCTTGTAACACACACCATGTTTTATCTTCTTAAACTGACAATCCCAGGTGTAACTGTCTGCGTTTTTGACTGAGACTTCTTGTGCATGAACCGCCCCTGTTTGGGCACAGTCTTGTTTGTATCTGGGGGGATAATCCACATTTGCCAATCTTGTTTTTTCTGGCAATTCATTCAATAAGCCAATGCTATTCTCTTCCACTTGTGTAGTCAGCACTGACACATTTCTCAGCTCAAACAATGCTGTGGCCAGGCTTGTTATTGAGTGCCATCCTATTATGCCAGACGGACCAATGGTTTCCTGCATGCCAAAAAGAATAAAACTAGTCATGTAAATTTTCATGTTTGTCAATAGATTAGGTTATTTTTCCTTCTGCTGTTAACCTATATTTCTCTCTTCATTTAGCAATCTAACTTACCGGTTCATCTGGTATGGTTTCATCTGGTATGGTTTCATCTGGTATCTCACCTTGCATACTTAAATTGTCCGGACATTCTGAAAAAATGAACAAATGTCCAAAAGGCTACTGAATTATGTACTTGAAAATGTTTATGTACAATAAAACTTACTTGATAATGATGTGTCTTGTTCTCCTTTTCTTCGAGGGGCCATTGGGATAGTCAGGTCCCATTCATATTGGTTGCCTTGGAACCCTTCGTCATCATCCAGAGTGTCCAGTGACCCATTCTCGGTGAGTATGTCGTCTGTTGTTTCTGGACGTTTGTGCATAGAGGTATTCTATACCAATATTTTCACCTGTTGAAAAATTGAATAAAATTTTTATTGCATGTAAAAGTATGCAGTAGTTCTTGCCCTTGGTACCTAAAAAAATAGTAAGGAAAAAACATTAGTAAACATGGACACAGAGTGAGAAATATCTGACCTGTGTATGTGCCAGCGTCCTGGTAGTTTGGGATAAGTTCTTTGCCATATACAAGATTGTTCAGACGGTTGACTTCATGGCACGGAGCACTGTTGTATATTCTGTGCTGAGTCGGTGGTATGTCAATGGCCGCCAATGCTCGATCTTGGTTCCAGCGTACTATCCCCTCAAGTAAGTACGACTGGAAATGGACGTTGTTGGCAGTGGTCCCTGGGATAAATCTTGCAATGTGCAGGTGGAATGACTCCAGGGATGTCGAGCCCCTTGCACATCGGTAGATGGGTAGCTTGATGCTACCTTTTGTCTTGTACCCATTACAAGTATAAAGAGGTACACCATCGGGGTCTTGGATACAGGGAAGATGACGTTGCTGTTGTTCCCATATCTGCCAAGCACGGTCGGCATCAAGCAATGGGATACCCATTGTGTCTTTCCCGAGATCTGAGGAGAAAGTCTCGATCAGTTGTTGTATGAGTCGAGAGCACTCCTCAGAACCCCGTCTCTGCCTTTTACAATGGGTAGCCAATTCCTTTTTGCTGACATGCTTGGCAATGTCATCATTCGCTACTTGTACAGTGTACAATACCCGATGCCGACAGCTGCGCCTGCTTAGAATGGTATAGCCTCTCGACATCCTCTGGGTCCCATTCGAAAAAGGCACCAGACAGTTGCAACATAAATGTCCCATAAAGGGCATGGGACTCTGAGCAGCAGGCAACTGATATTCGCCCCATGTAGTGCCAGATGTCCAGCCTGACCACCATGTCGGGAAACTTGTGGAACTGCTGCTTAGATCTTGTTGCGCAGCGGTCCCGATCTACGTACAAGACCCTTGGTGGTGGAGTGTTGGATCCCTCGTACCGTACCATCAAGCCTTCTGCCATGTCATCAAGACCTTCCCCCTCCGAGTCTGTGAGGACTGACATCAGGACTTGACCGCACTCGTTCCCGACATTGGTGCACCAGGCAGCTGTTCCACTAGCACTCCCAGTCAACTTTTTGATGATCTAAAATGAAAAATATTATCTCACAAACAATCATTGTTATGACATTATATATGCACAGTACAGAGGAGTGTGTCCTGCAAACAAGAATATTGATTAGAATTGGAAAATTTTCTTATTTCAAATTTTATTATACCTTTTTGGTAGAATCCATTTTCAGGATTTCACCAAAGGTTGATGTGATTTTGGCTTTTGTCTCCTCTATTCTGCTCATCACGTCTCTTAGGTAGACAGCCAGAAACCAGTCTGGTTTTGGGATGGCTGGAATGGGTGGGATGGTCTGAGCAGCACTCGGAATCTTGAACAGGCCCTTCGACGATTGTATTTCAAAGGGTTCCCGCGCCTGCAAGAACTGCAGTGCCCTGTTCATGTGGTGTTCCGTGTGCTGCTCTGTCACTTGTTTCTGCAGCTTTGTGGATGAGTTGCCTAGTGTCCTCTCCCTTATGAGCTTAACAACCTTAAGGTCACATGAATACCTATAAAATAATTGCAATGCAAAACATATCACATGAGCTACATTCCAGAAAAGGTGCTGCTAATAAAAGGTGGTGCATGCATGTTCTGCTTTTATCACCTGTAGGTCAAAACAGCTGGAAAGTAGCTTTTGTGTGCCAGGCTAAGCTGTTTCATGATGTTGGACCATGAGGCAAACTTCTTTTTGCAAAATTTGCATTCGAGGTATTCCGTTGCCATATAGTACCAGCCATCGATGGCCAGTACTTTCCTAACAGTCTTGTAAAGACCAGCCTGAGTGAGGTTGACAATCTATTGAGAAATTATAAGATGATAGGTGTTTAATAATTAAACATGCAGTAGATATCATGATTCATTATATTTTTAACTATGCAAACCTTTGTTGCCCCTTGTTCCTTCTGCTTTGCCTGATACTCGTCGCTGCACAGCAGTTTGAAACCCCAGATTTTCTGGAAGGAAAGGCCTTGCTGGTCGGAGTGGTTTTGATGCTGTTTCTTGGTATGTGTGTGTGTGTGTGTGTGTTTGTTTGTTTGTTTGTTTGTTTGTTTGTTTGTTTGTTTGTTTGTTTGTTTGTTTGTTTGTTTGTTTGTTTGTTTGTTTGTTTGTTTGTTTGTTTGTTTGTTTGTTTGTTTGTTTGCTTGATATTTATTGTGATATTGCCTATTAAACTAGTATGTGTATAATATTAACAAGATCATATCATTTTAATAAACTTGTTTGATTAAGTTCATACAACTGAATATTTGTCTTTTCCATTATTCTATCATTTAGGGTGACCAATTCCCGGATGTGATGGTATGCCCCAAGGATTAAACGTCACCTGGAGAGTCTTGCCATCCTTCTTCAACAATAGGGCTGGCATCAACAGCTGCCGCAGGACCAGA